GGGTGGGGTGCGGCCGGCCCCTGTTGGACATTGGCTCAGACCAGCAGCCCCCCCTCCCCCCCGCCCCCCGCCCCAGGGCAGCCTCGGCTGGGGCTCAAGACCAGCACCAACACAGGGGGAGCTCAGGGCACTTACATGGCCCGGCCCCCTCCCCCACCCCCGCCCCCGCTTAGCTTCTGAGATGGGGCAGCAGGTCATGGGTCCTGGAAGCCTAAGGTGAGGGCCACAGGCCCCAGTCGGGAGCCACCTAGACCCATAAGTGCTTCAGGAAAGAAACCAGCGGGCCCTGGCTGGGGTGCTCCGTTGGCTGGTGAGTTTGCCCCCTGGCCAGGGCACATGCAAGCATCAGCCAATGAATGCATCAATAAGTGGAGCAACAAATCGACGTTTCTCTCTTTCTCTCCCTCTTTCCCCCACCTCTAAAAATCAATAAATTAAAAAATAAAGCCATCAGCAGTTGGCCAGGAAGTAAACAAATTTCAGGCAGCCTTTGTTAGCTCTGGGATAGGTGTGGGAGTAACACTACCGGCTTCTGACAAAACACACAGGAAGAGACCTCATAATCCTGGGACCCCTGCTTGAGCCCGCAGGGCTCTCCTGGGGCAGCACTCTGAGGCTGCTCTGCATGGGGTGGGGGGTTGTTTCTCCAGGTGCAGCTGAGGCAAGGGTCCCTCATGCCAGCTGGGCCTCCTGCAAAGGGGAGGAGGCTCAGCCATCCTCAAGAGGCACACCAGGTCCTCGCTGAACTTCTCAGCAGTCTGAATAGGCGAAGCGTGTGGCTTGAGCCATCAAGGGGAGAGCCTTGCGCAGGAGCTCTGGGAGACCTGTGGCACTGTCCCACTCAGAAGGTGCCTTTGGGCAGGTTACTGGGGAGGGAGATCCCCAACTCTTCTACCTCCCCCCGCAGAGCACCAGCAGGGCTCCCCTCATTTCTGGGTCCTATTTATTTGGGGTCCCCCTTGGATGCACATCTAATCCTATGCTGGAAAGGGTTCAGGACGCCTGCAGAATGTACATCTGACCATGTCACTCCCCAGGTAAATAGCTACAGACCCACTGCCCAAAGGGCACAGCCAAGGTCCTTTATGTTAACATTCAAGGCCTGGCCCCAGACTGTCACTCCAGACCCACCCCTCACTTACCCCTGCCCGCTGAGCCTGGCCAGAACCGCTCCTCCTCCCGCCCCCAGAACTGGCTCCCTCCTTGCAACATGGGAACTGTGTGCTTCTTGCTGTGATTCTGCCTCTGTGAGTGCCTCAGGGCGGCCGCCCTGACCTGGCCCAGGCTGAGACAGTGTCCCTGTGCGACTCTCTGGTGCAGACCCTGGATTCCCGGTGCTCAGTAAGCAAGTCTGTAGGGTGACGCCCCACGTGCAGCGTCCGGATGGCCACACGCACGGGGGTGACTCCCGAACACTTCTGACAGCGGCCCGGCTGGCTGGGGAATCCAAGAGGCGCCTTCTCGCTTGGCTCCGGGCTAGAGGCTACATTTACTTTCTAATCAAATATTATTCTGACGCTCGAGGCATCCTTGATGTTTGCAAGTCGGAAAAGTTTAATTACATGTGTCATTAGGATGGCATTCTGTAGCAGCTCTGTGGCAGGATTCATTAACAGAGTGCTTAACAGATAAGACAAGACAAATTAATATTTTGTTGCCCATGAAAGCATCTCATTAAGAGTGCAGTGAAAAAAGTGATTAATATTTTGTTGCCAATCAAGATGTCTCCCACGGATGACAAAGCGAGGGGGCCCACACCTCCCGTGTTCGCTCAGCTCTCCGCTCAGCTCCCCGCTCAGCTCCCCGCCCTCGTGTGTAGGCTGATCCGCTTCCCGGCCTGTGTGGCGTTTCCACAGTCGCTAATTACTGGCAGGGACAGGGTTCCACATCTGACTGCGGCGGGGGGCCAGGCCCTAGCAGCCGATCGATCTCTGACCTGTGCCCCAGTAGGGCTGCCCTCCTGGGCTGTTTCCCCCGACCAATCTCGCTTCAGAAGTGCCCTGGAATCCAGAGGACTTATCTGTCCCCCTCCACAGCTGTATCTCCCCAGGGCTGCTGTCCTCACTGTCCCCAGAGGGGGCTGCTGCTCAGGAATACCTGTTGTGTGCTGGGCCCCAGGCCAGGCTCGGGACACACCTTCGGCCTGGAAATGCGCCTGTGAGGAGGACATCCTCACCCCCGTTTCCCCATGGGCTCCGAGAAGCAGCCCCGGGCTGCTCTGGACCTGTGGGCGGTGGCTGGTCACTGTCTGTCTTTCTGCACGAATCGGGGCTGACGTGACAGGCAGCCAGGGCAGCCAGGGTTATGGCTGCCTGCCTGGGGAGCCTCGGGCAGCTGCTGGCTGCCTGCTTTTTGGGGACTCAGGGTGCACGGTGTTGTCTGGCAGCAGCAGTGACAATGACAATGACAACGATAATCACAATGGGAGTGCTGACAGTTACATGGAACACTTATGCTAAGAGTGTCGCATGTATCCACATGCATTTTTTCAGTCAGTCTTTGCTCTAACCCTATGAGGCAAGAACTGTTATTCATCCCCATTCCCCAGAGGGCGAAGCTGAGGCTTAGAAGGGCCAGGCACCCTTTCCAAGGGTAGTTGAGTGCAACTAGGAAGAGGAAAAGCTGAGACTTAAACCCGGGAGCCTGTGACCCCCGAGTCGGTACCCCGCACTCACAGGCTGTGCTGCCTTCCTCCGCTTCCTAAGGCGGGAAGCCACGTGCTTCTGCCACACAGACGTGTGTGTAGGGACGTGTGGCTTGTGTCGTGTGTGTTTGTTTATGTAGTGTGTGTGTGGTTGCACACATCACTCGAGGACCCCCATGGGGCTGGCGCCGCCCCGCACCCTGGCGTCGGGGTTCCTGAGAAGCACAGAGCCCTGCTCATCTGCGGGCTGCGGGCTGACCACGAGCAGCAGGCGCTTCCTGGGAGGGAATGCAAACCCATCAGTCTCCAGTGGCACCCACAATTACCCACATCGCTAACCTCGCAGCGCAGAGTAAAAATGCAGTTGAGTTGGCGCTGGAGGCATGTTCGAGGGAGGGGAAAAACACCCAAAGTAATTCAATTAACCAATGGCAAGTGCATTAAGAGGACTTCTGCCTCAGCCTTTATTCCTAGAGTCTTTCAATGGAGCATCGAGCCGGGCCGTGGATGTTCTGACAAACGCGGGCGGACCTGTCCTAGTTCTGAATCAGTCGCCTCCGGCCAAGCAGTCTGAAGCTGACACCCACACTGAGAGCTTCTGCACACACCAGCGTGCACCCCAACACACACCTCCACCCCCAGTCTTCGCAAACAGAACACCGCCTTTCCTTGCGAAGATCCCAGACGCGCTCTGGGCATCTTAGACCCAGAAGACTAGGCCCTTCCGGCGCCTGTCCGTCAGTCTGTCAAGCACCTGTGTTCTCCAGTTGGTACTGACATTCAGAGATGGGGAGGTACAGCGGGTGAGCACCACAGAGGGCAGATCGCGAGGAAACATCCAGCCCAGTGTGATGAGGGTGGGGGAAGGGCACTCCTGCCAGCTCCACCCAGGGTGGAACCCCCGAGCCCCTCCTTCTGTCTGCTTCCTGCACAGTCTCCAGGGTGCAGCGAAGGGGCCTACAGAGGGCCAGAGTCCCAACCCTGGGGGTTGCTGCAGAACTGCAAGTGGGCCTCTCCCCAGAAAGCAGTCTCAGAATTGGGAGCAATCGTGCAGGTTGTGGGGTTCAGCAGCCCTGCTGTGGTGGCAGCCTTGTTTGCCGTGCTGTTGCTGCTGCTGCTGCTGCTGCTGCTGCTGCTGCTGCTGCTGCTGCTGCTGCTGCTGCTGCTGCTGCGTGGGCTCACCCGTCTCCAGGGGGCGGGAGGGGTGGGCAGCCAGCTCCCTGCCTCCTGGCAGCTCACTCCCTTGCAGGCTCAGGCCGATGGCTGCAACAGTGTTCCCACTAAGGGGCTCAAGTTGGTCTCTTTTTTGGGGTGCGCCCTGGCCCTTAGTGCTATCCAACTCATGGGGTCACATGGCCCAGGCCAGCTCCCTCTGTCCCAGCACCTACCTAGCACCTTAGCGCTGTGAGTGGGAGCTGACCACTCAGGCTACAGGTCTCCCTTTTCTGGGCCACACCCCTGTCCCCGCTCCCCCCTCCCCCCCGCAGAGCCAGCTGGCCTGACCTGAGCAAGGAGACCAGGGCTGTCCCTGATCACCCAGAAAACTGTGGTCCTGTCACTGTAGCTGCTGGCCTGGCAGCACCCTCCATGATGACATCAGGCTGTCTTCTTGTGTGAGCTTCTGGGAAGCCACCTCACCCCTTGGGCCAAACCAGGGCCAATAACTATTCTCAGATTAATCCCTGTATTCCTCGAGTCCAACAGCAGGGAGGTGCTGCCGATGTTGCTTTGCTACTAGAGTAGTCCACTGAGGATCGGCTGTTGAAGGAACAGCTCAGAGTGCTAGACGCAGTGTGGGTGACGCTGGGACCCCAGCCCCGGCAGCCTGTCGGCCGGGTGAGGCTGTGCGAACTCAGGGGCTCTCCCATCCAGCTCATCACACCCCCACACCCCCTCCCCACCCCACAAACAAGGCCCCAACCAGCCCAGCAGCTCGCCTCTGCCCTCCACAGGGAATCCCCTGCCCCCGTGTCCAGCTGTCTACATCCTGACCTGCTTTAGGCCCGGAATCTTCCCCCCGGCGAAGACCTCACCCATGTTTCTCCCTGCCGTGGAGCTTTCCTGCCTGGCCATGTTCTCTGTTGGCCTGTGGTCCCATCTTCCGAGTGGTGGCTCACCACACGGCCCCTCCACTCACATCTCATCCTCACGCCCACCTCCTGGCCTTCGTCACTGCTTCAGCCAGTACAAGGACCTCCGGCCCTGCCCCTCACTGACCCGTTCACCTTCTCCTGGGCCTGGCTGGTGGGCGTACGGCCCCCATCCGTCCTGCCTCTGCGTGTGGTGCACCGAATGTGAGATGTCAAAAGAAAGCCCCAGACCCTGCCTCCGCCGCCGCCGGGCGCGGGTTACTCACGTTGATGTCCTCCAAATCCAGGAAGTTCAGGGTGAGCCCATTGCGCTTCCAGACGATGGGTGGCCTCAGGTCCCCGCGGACAGCACACGTCAGCACTGTGCTCAGCCCCACGGTCACCGTGGCCACACTGACCCTGTCCTCGGGGGCGAGGCTGAGTTGGACCACCTCTGCGGGGGGGAGAAGAAGGAGAAGGCGGTCAGGGGCAGGCCCGGGGAAGGAGCCTCCACTCCAAGGGAAAGAGCCCCGGGGATGGCCTGCAGGGCCGGGGCTCGGGTGGCTTCATGGCAACGGAAAGTCGTCCCCCATGCTGACGAAATGTACCGCTAGGCACGTCTTCTGCAGGAGGGGTCGCAACTTACATCAAATGACCGAGGGCCTCTGGGAGTCAAAATGGGTCAGGAACTACCACCAGTGGAGAGGGCTGTGGACCTGTGAGTTGAGCCACGAATGGGGGCTGCCAGGGTCCCGTGGGCCCCCACGCAGAGACCAGGGCTGCAGCATCCATCCTGCGCTCCTGGCCTCGGGCCTCACGACGCCTGGGCCGGGTGAGGAGCGGTCAAGGTCCGCTGGCTGGGCCGGCAGCTTTCTCTTCCATCTGGGGGCAACTGAAAGGTCGCACTGTCTGAGGTCTGGGGAATGGACTGGCTGACCTTTGCAGGCTTGTTTCTGTCTGGGGATTCGCTGAACTTGGATTTGGATTTCTGCTCGGCAACCATGCGCTACCGGTAGCCTTTAACTGTCTGAAGTGTGTTTCAGGCTGCACCAATTACTAATCCTCATCATTTCACACTTGATAATGGGCCGTGAGACTGATCATTTTTCAGGCAGTTGGAAGGGTCTAATATAATTCCCTCCATCCACAGGCTTTCTAAAATTCTCGGGATTTATCAAAAAGTTAATCAGACGCAGATGTTCAAATGCCAACAAGGGATCAGGCTGGGAGGGAGGGTCACCAGCCCACAGGGCAGGCTGCCTCTCCCAGACCTACAACTCGGGGGCTGGGGGCAGCAGCCAGAGGCGGCAGGAGCGGAGGGAGGCAGCCGGGCCCAGGAAGCCTGTGTTTCTGTCGGGGCCTGGGGAGGTCTGACAGGTGTGGAGCAAGGTGGAGAGGTGGGGACTGAGCTCTGCGACTCAGCAGGACACTTCTGAGCTGTGATCAGGCGGGACACCTGAGCTCACCCCCTCCTGCCTGTGTGTGTGGGAGACGGCGTTGGAAGGGGAAGCAAAACCGGCTTCAGGTGAGATGCTCTGCAATGCAGACACAGTCAGGTGGGAACCCGGGGACCAGAGCCCTCCCCACTCCACAATCGCTCAGTGGCCCTGCTCTGGGCTCATAAAGAGGAACAAGGTATATACTAGGTGCTTAATCAGTGCTTGTTGGATGGATGGATGCAAAATGGAGAAAAGGGAAATGAAGAAGGAAAGGAGCCAGCAGGCCGGCAGAGAGGGGACAACCACACACACAGGACAAATGTGACGAGGCACATGGGGAAGACCAGCACCGCACGGTGGATGTGGGCACACCAGCGCACTATTTTACAGACGAGGCGATGTGCTTCCCGTTCCCTCTCCAATCACCCTCTGCCTGCCGCCCTCCCACCTCCGAGTCACGAGGCTTACTGCTCAGGGGGGAGAAGGTGCTAGCCCACTCTAGACTCGGCTTTGGAGGGGCAGAGGGCAGCGAGGCGGAGAGATAAGGAGCATCTGCTGTAACTGTTAAGCTCCCACTGTGCTGTGCCAGCCCTTAGGACTCAGAACCCAGATTCTCCCCCAGTAGAGACGAGGATGTACCTCCCACTCACAGGATAAACCGTGAGGCTCTGAGCTCTAGGGAAGAAGAAAGGGGTATGGAATACCCCCTCGTCCCAGGGCATTGTGGGAGTCACAAGGGAGACAGTGAGAAGGGCAAAGAGTGTGCTTGTCAGTGTGGAAGCGAGTGCAACCAAGGAGGGGGCTCTAGGAGGAGGCTGCTCCTCCCCACCTGGGTGGCTACACAGGGCGTGACAGAGCCAGGGCCTGGGGCTATCTGCCAGAGCCCCCTCAGCTCCGGGGTGGCCTGGAGGGGCCCAGGGGTCCTTGCCTGCACGCTGGCTGGGCTGTGAGGCAGGGGACTGTGCCTGGGGACTGCACTGAATGGCCAGGTCTGGGCCCCGAGGCTGTGACCTGCAGACCAGCAGACCTTCAGGGCTGCGTGGTGCCAGTGGGGGCTGTGGGAGGCTGAACCAAGGGGAACCTCGGACTCCGGACTCCACCAGGCTGACAGAACCCAGACCAAGAGCACAGCCAGGGCTGACCTTGGGCAGAGCAGCTGGGGAGGGTGGAAGTGGGGCGTCTAGGCCCGGGAACTGGAGGTGGTGGAGGATGGCAGGGTGCTTACTTCCACACTCAGAAACCAGCTAGGGGGCAGTGGGGGATGCAGGGTGGGAACTGGAAACCCGAGGCATTTTTCTTGTGTCGGGCATCACTCGTGTGGATTGCTACAATGGTCCGCTCGGACTAGGCTTTGCAATGGATTGAACACTTAGGTGTGTTTCTCTCCCAATGGCTGGTAAGTGGGGCTTGTGCAGAAGTCAAGTGTGTTGCCACGTACGTGGTCAATTAATCTGCGACAAAGGAGACAGGAAATATATACAATGGAGTAAAGCCAGTCTCTTCAGTAAACGGTGGTGGGAAATCTGGACGGACAATGTAAAGATAAAATGAAACTAGATTACTTCCTCACGCCTACACAAGAGTAAGACCCCGAACCATAAAACTCCAAGGAGAAAGCACAGGCAGTAAAGTCTGACAGTGCTCCTAGTGATTTACTCTTTCGGATGTGACTCCTCGGGCAAGGGAAACGAAAGGAAAAACAAATGGGACTGCGTCAATGTAAACAGCTTCTGCGCAATGAAGGAGCCACCGACAAAACAAAACACAGCCTGATGAATGGATGGAGATATTCCCTAATGGTCTATCCAATAAGGAGTTAATATCCAAAATAGATGAGGAATTCATACAACTTAACACCAAAACAAACAAGCAAGCAAGCAATCTGATTAAAAAATCGGTGGAGGACCTTAATAGGTATTTCTCCAAAGGGGACATACAGAGGGCCAATGCACATGTGAGAAGATGCTCAATGTCACTAATCATCAGAGAAACGCAAATGACAACCACAATGAGCTGTTAACTTACATCTGTCAGAATGGCTATTATCAATAAACCAACAAACAGCAAGTGCTGGAGAGGATGCAGAGAAAGGGGAACCCTTGTGTATTATTGGCGGGAATGCAGGTTGGTGTGGCCACTGTGGAAAATAGTGTGGAGGTTCCTCAAAAAATTAAAAATGAAACTATCTTATGACTCAGCATTCTCACATCTGATTATTTATCCAAAGGAATCCAAACCATCAATTCAAAAAGATATACGCACCCCTTTGCTCAGCGCAGCATTATTTATAATAGCAAAGACATGGCAGCCACCCAGATTCCCATCGGCAGAGGAGTGGATAAAGGAAATGTGGTATATACTTGCATATACAGTGGAACATTACTCAGCCATAAAAGAGAACGAAATCTTGCCATCTGTAGCACCGAGAGTGGACTTAGAGGGTGTTACGCTAAGCAAAATATGTCAGACAGAGAAAGAAACTTACCATGTGATTTCATTTATATATGAAACCTCAAAAACAAATAAATGAACAAACGGCCCTGGCCGGGGTGCTCAGTGGTTTGTGGCCCCATCCTGCACACCAAAAGGTTGTGGGTGTGATCCCTGGTCAGGGCGCGTACAGGAGGCAGCCTGTTGATGTTTCCCTCTCACCTCGATGCCTGTCTGCCTCTCTCTTTCTCCCTCTCCCCCTTCCTCTCTGGAGTCAATGAAAGCATATCCTTGGGTGAGGATTAAAAAAATGAACAAACAAAACAGAAACAAACTCATAGATACGGAGACCAAACGGATGGCCGCTGGGGCGGGGGGTGCATTCGGGGTCTGGGTGAAAAAGGCGAAGGGATCAGGAACTGCAGACCACCAGTCCTGGGGACGCAAGCACAGTGCAGGAAACGTCGTTAATGACACTGTGACAACTGTGTGTGGTGCCAGGCGGGTGCCCCCGTTGCGGGGAGATCGCCTCGTAAGTTACACAAATGTCTGATTGCTGGGTCATGCACCTGAAACTAATATAATAATGATGGTCAGTTGTAACTGAAAAATAAAAACAATTTTCAGAAAGTCTTCTTACAAGAGGAACCTACATTTTCTGTGCACGCCTGTGCTGCTGTCGGACTGCAAGACCCACAGGGCCGGCAGAGAGGGGCTCCTCTTCCTGAGACGTGGTTGCCCCACACCGGCCTCGCTTACCCAGGGGGCACAGACTCCAGGCTTTCCCAGGCGCCTCGGGACTGCTGTGCTGCCTGAGGCCTGAGAAGCCCTGTCTTGGTAGATGGGGGTCTGCAGAGATGTCAAGGGGAGGGCATGTGGGTGGGGCGGTGTGGTGGTCTGGCCTGCAGGGGTACCGGGCCAATCACCAGGCCGGGAGCACAGGCCCTTACTCAGAAGGTAAGAGCTACGTGCGATGCCTGGGTCCTCTCTCCATGTGGCCCCAAAGCCACAGATTTCAGAAAAATCTGGAAAACTAACAAGCCAACACGCTGAGTGGGATGTCTGTGGGCCTCTCCACCTGCCCAGGCACAGCCGGCCCCGAATCTCTGCCCAGCACACCTGTGTCCCTGCCCAGCACACCTTCATCCCTGCCCAGCACACCTGTGTCCCCGCCCAGCACACCTTCATCCCTGCCCAGCACACCTGTGTCCCTGCCCAGTGCGCCGGCCCATTGTTTGCAAGTCTGAAGACACACATGCTGGCAGGAAAGACTCACGCAAAATCAGAACCCAAGCATGCCAATAGAACCCTCATAATTCTGCCCCTGTGGGCTACATCGACATGAACCAAACTGCAAATATTTGGATCATAGCAAGTTCAATGAAATGACTGTTTTATTGAATTTAATTAATGTCAGGGTTCTCTAGCTCCATTTAAAATTCTGAAGAGATTGACGGCCACAGAATCTCTCCTCACTCCCGGGGATTCACTGCTTGGGAACTCACGTCTGGCCGCTGCCCTTCCCTGCTCGATGACCTCCCGGGGTGGCTCCCCAGGGGGCCAAACGTGAAGCTGTGTCTTGGGC